CTGAAAGAAAACTTGACATTGAAAAAGCCACTTTTACCAGTTTACTGTAGGTTTGTTTTAAATGCCACTGATTTCAAAACTTTAAAGCTGAGCCCTTATTGCAAAAGTCAATGGAATGAAACGACATAAAAAAGGAATTTTAGAATAGTTAGAATTTCTAAAACTGGTTCTCTAAGGTTCTTTGGTGTTTTACTTCAACACGATGGGTCTCATTTCTAAGGTATTGTTTCAAGAAATTATTTTAATACAAAAGACAACATAAATAGGAGGCGCCTTCAATAATACTGAAATTAATGGTGTCCATCAGCTACGATTTACTAAAAATTTTCTAAAGAGAGTTAAGAATAATCCTGGAGACTTACAGCACATACCAAAATGATCAGACAGCCTGTTTCAGAAGTGTTTCTGTTTATTAGTTTGTCTAATGTAGAGATTCAACGAAGTGAAAAAACAAATCAATCAGCACAATGGTTTACAGAAGAAACCTATCATCTTTGCAGCGCACAGGCTCTCATTAGTCATAGTAGCTATTGCTCTGCTCCTGAGATCTGAGCACTGAGGAAACACTGTCATGGAATAAGAAGTAGGCAAATTAGTAAAGGAAGAGAAGAGCAATCAATAGACAGTGATAGGTAAGAACTTCTTGGCTAGGGAGCTGACCTCACCTTAGAGATAGATGACCATTTATGACCTCATCTCTCATAGCATCTAATGCTTTTGAACCACTGGGCTGTTTGCAATAGATTTGCAACTGAAAAGCTAGAACAGAAATATGAGCCCTAGAACAATTACATGCTTCAGTGCCTCAAACCTTTGCTAAAGCTCCATATTATAACCCAACGACTGCTCTAAGGGTGGTCTGTGTGAGGCACCGTGAAACAAAACCTAGCAGGGTGCTATTTACATATAGGCACTCAGAAGTTTGTTGACTAAAAGGCTCCTATACTTAAAGACAGGATGAGGCAAGGCCCTGCTATCTGCCAAGATGTTTCCAACATCAGCTGTTATGTTGCTTTCTAGACCCTCATTCAGAATTAGTTAAAGCCATTTACATCTATGATAAAAATCATAATAAAATATCAATTCTAGATGACACAAACTAGAAAGATCTCTCAGATGTCATGGAATTCTCTAAGGGATCTGGCTAACATGAGTTCTGTGAATATGGAGTCTCTCTTTTTCTTTTAGTAAATGCCTCGAGCAATTTCTACGGTAAGCTGTGATGTAGCTCTCTCATCTTCATAATATAGTCGAACCTACTCTAGCACTAGGGATGCCTCAATTTCCACTGATGATATATATATATCTCAACCACAGTTTAATAAAAGCAGCCTAACATCTTCAGGGTCATTCTCATTCCTGCTTTATAGGTTAAAATCCCCACAGCTGTTTCTCAACCCTTGTATTCCCTGCTTTAGGTACCACAACTCTACTATGACTGATTTCTGTAAAATATAATCGTGTTTTTTGAGACAGAGTTGTGCTATGCAGTTGAGACTGACCTGGAACTCACTATGTAGCCCAGGCTGGTCTCAAACTCACAGCAATCCTCCTGCCTCAGCCTCCCAAGTGCTGGGATTACAGGTGTGTGCCACGACGCCCAGCTGTAAAATATAATTGTGATTGAGCAACAAAGCCTACTTAAATACAATTCAGACATGAATGAACTACATTCCCCAAATTACAAGATTTTACTGAATGCTACAGATTCCCTGAGAAATGGACACTCTACCACATGTCCAGCTGCCAGGAAGGTTGTTACCAAAGAACTAAAGATTTTAAGGACAAAAAACAGATACACAGGTCAAGATAGATACACAGAGACAACTTTCAACTCACTGTATCATTATGTAACTTTCCTTTCCTAAATTTAGTATTATAAGAAAGTGGTAAAAACCACGGTCTCTCATCAAACACTAGGTTCATTTTATTAAAAACCAAAACAAAAACCCACATCTTCTTTATCCAGTCTCCAGTTGATGAGCAACTGGGCTGTTTCCAAGTTTCAGGTATTACAAACTGTGGCACTAGCCAAAAAGAACGAGACACTAGAGTCATTTATAGCTAAGTGGATGCACATTGAGGCCACACTCTTCAGTGAAATTAATAGGACAGATACGTGTAAATACCGAATAGTTTCTCTGATGTGAGAAACTGAAAGTGTAAATAAGGATCAAAATATATGATAGTTCCGGTGAAATAGGAGAAAAGGTCTAAAGGGGAGGAGGAAGTGGGAGAGCTGGGAAAAGGAAAAACTATGAGAGAAGGAAAAAATGCAAACAAAGACTTTGTAAACAGGAAGGAGTGGAGAGGTCGAGGGGCGAAAGAGGAATGGGGAAAAAATAAGAACCAAGATATATCATGTACAGGTACAAATTCCCCATGATGAGTGTCATCATATTGTGCACCTAAAATGTAGCAATAAAATCAGAGAAAAAATCATGTTCACAGCCTAATTCTGCTCCTCATTAGTTTATGATTTGGGGCAAATGAGTTAATTGTTTCAATCTCAATTTCTTCTTTTGCATTGTGCACACACTGATAAAAAAATTCGAGGGGATTTAGATAATAGATGTTGAGTGCTTATACTGTCCGACACCTAATAAATATTTAATAAATAGTTAATATTAAAAATATCTTCCCTAAGCCTAAATTCAACCAATTTACCCTTTTTATAGTGTTTAAATTTAAATCAATAGGAAATTCATTTAGTTCTAAAAAAGAAGCCTTTGGGCTGGGGATTTAGCTCATCGGTTCGGTGGCCTGCCTTGCAAGCGCAAGGGCCTGAGTTTAATCCCCGGTACCAATAAATAAATAGATAGATAGATAGATAGATAGATAGATAGATAGATAGATAGATAAAAAAGAAGCCTTTTAAAAAACTGAGATCTCATCCTCCTTTTAACGGTAATAGTCCTTTAGGAACAGTGCAAGCTTTCTTGGTTACAACATCGCAAGGTGCAAGGTGGAACAATCCGAGTTTCTAGGGAAAGCTGCATCACACCTGTGGCTTACTTTAGCATTACTCTAACCTGTGAAAATTCTTTTTTAAAATTTAATTTAATTTTTCAAATGGACACATAATATTTGTACATATTTGGGTGAACAATATTATTTGATTTACAAATCAGGATAATTAGCATTTTCATCTCCTGAAACATTTACCACTTTTGTGTGCTGGGAAACTTTAGACTCTTCTAGTTAGCTTGAAATATATCACACACTATTGCAGATTATAGTTACCCCACGGTACTAGAGCACATTAGAATGAATTTCTCCTATCTCACTGTATTTTGGTACCCATTATCTAATCTCTCTCTCCATCCCTCCTTCCTGATCCCCTTCCCAGTCTCAAATAACCATTATTCTACTCTTTTTCTATGAATCATTTTTTTAAGCTTCTACAAAAGAATGAGAACATGTGGTATTTGTCTTTCTTTGTCTGGCTTTTTTCACTTAACAGGACATTCTGCAGTTCCATAAAAATTAACAAAAGAAACGGTTCTAACCTTCGACAACGAATTAATGATTTTTAAATGACCTTTTAATCAACTATTTATTGAGTAGTTGCTGCAGTTAGGGAATTGCTAGAAGGTGTAAATTATAGGGAAAAGTCCTGAATTTGCCTGCAGTAAGCTTACTATTTAGGTGACAAAATAAGACAAAAATGTATAAAACTATAAGCAATTATGAAATATTCACATTAGTATTCAAAACATCCTTTGAAGAACTATAACAAGAAAATACACAAATTCTGCAATGGGACTCCAAAGACTAAAACATGACTTCCTATTGAGGGAGGGCATAGTCTCTCCCACTGGGAGAGCTTTATGTGGGAAAGATTTTTGACTAGGGTCTTTTAGGATGAGTAGAATTAATGGGGTGGAGGGATATTGTACAATTTCATTCTCAACATGCTATGCTTATATTTTCCTTGACCAAATACCTTTTGAAATTGACTCTGCATCCTCAACTTTATTCTAAAAATGCAGAGTGCTGTGTATAGAGACAACCTTGACAATGAAGAAAGAAAATGGTGAGCTAATGCAGATAGCTGTGACCACAAAGAGAAAAGAAATGTTCAAGGGTCCTATCCAACATAGAGTTGGCATTATTTTAAACTGCTTGGCCAGGGATTTCACTCAGTGGCAATGTGCCTGCCTTGCAATCACAAGGTCCTGAGTTCAATCCCCAGTACAAAAAAAAAAACAAAAAAAGTGCTCGAATTATGCCTACAAGCAACATCAAGGATTCAACACTCTCAAAAGATCTTTAATAAACAACAGTGTTAAAACTATGTATTTGATGAGGTCGTAAGACCAGGTTTTCAGATGTACCATGTTTTGTATTTGAAATACAGAATATAATATACTTTTGAGGACCAACATTTACCATTTCACTATTATTTTCTTTAAAAAGCTGTGTGTGAGAAGCCCATGGATATTGTAAGAAAACACCTCTGTCATTATTGGAATCCTAAAACAGACCATAATGAAATATGCTTACTTCCTTAACAGTTCATAGCAACCTCAATGTGATGTTGGTCTTGGAAACAGTCCCTGAGCACATAAATCAGACTCTCTTGGATTTTAGTGCATTGCATGTAGAATCACAGGCCAAACAGCATGCGAAATTTCAGGGACTATGTTTTAATTGACAAGATAAAAATTTCAAATAATATTTACTGAAATCCTCCCTTAGGGGAATGGAAGAGATACACAGCTGATGGAAATATGAGGAAGTTTAATTATTTCCCATCCACAAATCCTACAGCTACTGACTTTTCAGCTCTGATGAGACAATGACTTATGCTGGTGATGGCACATGAAGTGGGCAGCCTCCGTGGAGTACTTAGACTGCCTGAGATTGAGGCCACAGGAAAACGATAACAGCAAGACCACTTATCAGAGTACAGCTCACTCCCATCACAGATGTGGTAGATATTTGACCATATTTCTTTGCACACAACCATTCTTGAAAGAAAAGCAGGGGACACGTACCTGAGCCGTTCTGGACTGGCTCCATCCCCCAGGTACCTGTGACACTAAAGTCTGGTGCATGCTAAGGGGGTGGCATCCAAGCACAAGAAGGAGCCAGTAACAGAAACGGACGTCCTAGAATCTGTAATAAGAAGAAAGAGTAAACTTTCCAGTCATAGTATCCTAAATGAGCATTTTAGATTGGCTATGGAGGACCGAGGGAACGGGAGAGGAATCTGGTACTTTACCTTGGTAGATCTACTTTTAAAAATGAGCTCCAGAACTCTCAGCTCTTCTTACAATTCAGGGCTTGAGATACTGGCACAAATTCAGTTCAAAAGCTGGCAAAAAGCACCTTAAAAAAGGCTTTGTGAATGTATTTTGCTGGTAATGTTTTTTAGGAAGGAAAAAAAAAAAGGGGGAATCATCTTTGCCATTCCTTTATTCTGTTTGCATGGAACAGCTGGAAGACTGTTCCTTGCCTATCCCATATATCACAGCCACTCACACCGAGCCAACATCCCACTGCAGCGCCTCGGGAATCTGCAATGTCACTCCTCTTCTGCTTGTTCTCTGCAAAGTGAAGTCATAGGGATGGATCAGCCAACCTGACTTCTCACTACTCTGCCCAGAATCCTTTGTGAGCTGAAATGAGTCATCGCTCCAAGAAAAGCTACAGCCTGTGTTGTCTGTGCAGTGCGGAGACTCAGACAGGAGCAGAGCCCAGGCATGGGGCTGCACAGGGCACACGCTCCTGTCCTAGGGGCGCAGGTGTACTCACATGCATTAGCAGAAACTCATATTTTTTAATCATCAAAACAGTAAAAAGGGCACATACCTCCAGATGCTTGAAGAAAGAACACACACATGAAATTGATCTGGCGTCACATACTCACCAGTCCGTACTCATAGGTCTGATACATTTTCCTAAATTTTTTTTAAGACTGACTTTTCCTTGTGATGAAGGATGTCTCCCTCCTGTGTGTAACAGGCAGTTCTGCAGGACACTGGATCAAAGTTTAGCTGCAATGAGCTATTTGTCATGAATTCCAGTTGCCCTGCAAGTCTTCGCAAGCCCGTGTCCCCTTATTCCCCACACATCCCTGTCGGGCTTGCAGCCTGGACAGCCAGTGCAGCTTGCCTCGCCTCGCCAGCCAGGCAGCTCTGCTGCTGCCAACAAAGGCAGCACTGGGAATGAGGTCACTATGTCAGGCACGCGTTCTCAGCATGAGGTTCTCCCAAGCTTACAACACAACTGGTAGAAGTCATAGGATTTTTATATTACTGCCTCGTCTGCTTTAAAAAAATTTCTATGCCTAAGATCACTAAGGCAAAAAAATCAATTTTACATCTGCATAAAAATGTCTTTTTCATCCCACCTTTTGTACCATGTTCATTATTAACACACATTGAAAAACTGACACAAATATATGTGTACATACTGTGTATACTCACAGGGCCCTAATTCAACAGAAGCGCAGAGAAAACATTTGTTTTTTTATTTACAGTACAAGAAATAGCACATAAATATTTTAAGAGGAAAGAAAGGTGGAAGTTGAGAGAGGACAGAATCACAGGAGTATCCATAATCACATAAAAACCAGAGAAAAATGGAGTCACAGTGGAAAAGAATAATTAACAAGCAAAAGATTAAGAAAGAAATGAATCTTACTGTGTTAGTAATAATACTGACCAAACTCTCCCAAACTCAACCTCTAACTCAGCTCATGAACCAGATACCATAAATTATCATACACTCTGAACCGCAATAGATTTGCACAGATGATGTTTGCACAGCAAATTCAATCATATCCTCTTGAAACCATCAGCTAAGGTGCAGTGAGCACCAAATGAAGACACAATGGAAGCCAGGAAGGACAAAAACATCAGGAAGCCCTTGGTAAGGTTTTCTCAAACCTCTGAAATGGAAAAGTTTCCATGTGGATCCCCAAAACCAAAATCAGATCCTCTCTTCACTCCTGGGATTTCAGTCTGACCTCAAGCACCCCTTCCAAGACCTCAGGTCCCATCCCAAGCCAGCCACACTTTCTGGTGAGCGAGCACCAGCCTCTCCTGTCACACCACATACTGGTCCTGCCCGATAAGCTGGAAAATGTATAACCTGCTTTTGTCTGCTAACTCATCTGGTAGCTACAGTCATCTGATCCCGTATTTCAGATCATCTCTTCTCTAGTTGAGTATAGTTTGGGATGCGTAATGAGCATGGAGACTATGTATACAGTCCAGTTGTTGATTAATACACTTGATATGAATGCTTATTAATAAAACCTTTTTAGCACCTCCTACCATCTGAGGCTTTTCAAATCCTCTCCTGTTATGAGATCACTCTTTACTGGCCTGGCCTATCAGTTTCCCTCCTACAATACTGTGGACCCCAAGTGTGGTCTCCGTGTGGCATTATCTTCCCCCTTGTTCTGGACTCTATAATCATGTGGTCTAAGACTGTTGGCTTTTGGCTACTGCATCTCACCATTAGCTCTTCCCTAGCATAATTAAGCCAGGTCCCCTTTAGCCACTTTTCAAAAACCTTGTCAATTATGGGTTGGTTTAAATTTCTCCTTCCAATGTATTATCTCCTCTCTCGTTCAGGTTGTGCCCAAAGCTCCTGGCCCACACTGAGCCTCTAGACCATATCAGGCCTCCTACCAAAGCAGCTGAGAGTTCATCATTTCTCTTTGAGCTTGGGTAAATATTTAGTTATAAAGCCACCCAAATCCACCAAATTTGGCATGCTCCTCTCAGGCAAAGTCTTACTACCTAAGAAGCCTAAGAAGCACCTGTACCTGAAGAATTTGCTGATGTAATTATAAATTGAAAATTAAGATCTACACAGAGGTAACATTAGCCCTGGCAAGTTAAGACCCAGACTGGGTCTAGGACTGGTTGATGTACCACCTATTGACAGTAAAAGACTCAAATTTATTTTAATGTATATAAAATATTAAATAAGATAAAGAAAGCGATACTAAATAATTTAAAAAAGGAATGGAAGTTTAAAAAATGTATTCAAATTTTCTAATATCCAAACACGTACATTCGCATCTCTATATGCGCCTACTGTGTTCATATACAGAAACATCTAATTGTTACCAGGACCCAGTAATAAGATAAGTACTGGTATGACTCCCATTTTGAAAAGAACTGTCAGAGGGAGGATCTGAATTCAGGAAACCTGGCTCCAGAATCTGTGCCTTTATTCACTATACAAAATGCTTCTTGGTTTTAAAATAATCACTGGAAACAAAAAAATTAAGAAATCTATACTTGTATTTAAAATTTAAATTGAAGCCAACTGCTCACTTAGCACGGGCCAATGAGGTTAAGGTCACAGGTTGGACCTCTTGAGTAGCAGGTGCTTTTGCCTTTGCCCATTTCTAGGAGCTCTCACCAAATGACTGCCCTCCATCTTCAGCCAGCAGACTTTTACTCGATGACCACACAAAAAGTATAGAAGACCAGTCACAACTTGTAAACATGAGCTTTTCATTCTGCCCTACTAATAGCAACCTGAGTTTCATGGTGGAAACCAATGAGCCTCAACTCAGATATATGGGCAAGAAAGGCGCTCTGAAGTTTCAAACACCAGTGTTTGGTAGAGAAGCAAGCTTAAAATCAACTCCAGCCATAATTAGTAGTCCTCCTCCTCCCCCGGTGCCTCCTGCTTCTTTTAATAACAGCTTCAACATTACAGTAAAGATTTACAAACATCACAGAGTATCCCAGAGGTGATTTGCTCAGTTGATGAGGTGTGGGCAGAGGTTGTGCTTGGCACTTGACTGGTTCCTTGGCAGAAGATGAAATAGTAGTAACACTTAGTGACATAGTCATGCAGAATCTTAATAAACACTCGGATGACTAATGGTCTAGCACAGTCTTAGAGCTGCTGCACTTGATAAAGCAGAAGCAATAAATACTCAAATCAATTAAAAATATTTATTGAGTGCCTAACTGAAATGTCCCATAGTAGATTGGGGAATTTTTAATATGTTGAGATAGTACATAAAATGTAGGTATGTACACTGGTACACAAACACTGTAATGCCCAAATGACAGGGCCTCTATCTCTACTTTCAATAAGTTTAAAATGCATCCAACCAGATAAAATACTCACACATCACAAGTGTAAAGAATACAAGGCAGTATCTCTCACAGGGGAGGAACAGGTAACAGGTGCCCCCAAGAATTCAGGAGAAAAGAACTTGGATTGAAGCAGTCGGGAATGGCTTCAAGGGAGGCGCAAGCATCCTAGAATCTGGACAGGTGAAAGGAAAGAGAAAGGACGCCTCATATGTTACATCATAAGCTCCATGGAGGGGAGGATCGCCGCACGTCCTGGGTTTACAGATGTATTCCTGGAAAGGGCCTGGCCAGCAGTAGGCACTAAGTTAATATGTACTGAAGTAAGAAAGGAATGCCCTGGAGAGAGGCAGCATGAACCTGGCAGGGAGTTACCGATGGAAGAGAGATGGAGGATTATAATGCTGCCTGGGGGCTGAATATTCATCATGGGAAGGAAAGGGAGAGGATGCAAGAGGGGTGGTCCAACACTGCATTAAGAAGAGTCTTTAATGGACAAGAAAAACAAAACACTTTATATTTGCAATGAATTTCACTTGGCATTTATTAGAGCCATTAGTAATTCTTCTCTTCAAGGAATATTACATCTGTAAACTCCACATTCTTCTAAAACAATTATTGACTGCTGGCCAGAGGGAGGGTCTGATGACAGTAAGGTCAGATGTAGCTTCCCAAGGGACTTTCTTCTCTGCCTCCCATCACCACCCAACATCTGTGACGCCAGACTCTCTCCCCTTTGCAAGACTGCACCAATAGGGGAGAAAAGAATCCTAGTCGGTAGCAATACTATAAAAACCTACCCTAATTCAAGTTAACAAACATTTTTAATGTAACATGTAAGACGTGATGCTTGTTGCTGAGGTCAGTATAAAGATAAATGAGACATAGCTCCTGTTTAGCATCATCTGACTCACTCAAGGAAATGAGAACAAAGAAAGACGGTTGCTTCTGATATGAGGAGACGTGGAGGAAGCACAATGGAGGGAAATGGAAAGTGCTTCAGGACAGAAAGAGGCATCGGAGGCAGGCTGCACAGGATGGGTAAGCAAAACAGAAAAGGAGAAAAGATGAGGATGTCTTTGTAGAGAGAAAACTAGAATGGAGAGAGACATGGTGGTTAGCCAGGGAAAGTTATTTTGGATAGAGCTGGCTAGTGCTCTATCTAGCTTGGCTAGGATGGGAGGATGCACATGAAGGAGAATGGCATTGAGAAAGTCTAACAGTCAGCCTGGAAAAAGCTTCTGAAGAACGTTAAGCTGCTGGAGAAAGGCATTATAGGTTCTTACAGAGAGTGGTGTCATTATGCTGAATGGTTAGAGTATTCTGGCAATGGAGTATAGCGTACATTCAGAGAAGATAATTATTGAGACGAGTTGTGTGCCTATTATAGCAAACTGAACAAGACATAGAGTTCTTAATCAGGGAAGACAGAAGCAGGGGGATGGATGTAAGAGAGTATTTCCATTTTGTGAAAG